ATTCAAATCCGTTTTCGACCAGTTGTTGAGGCGAATAATACAACGGTCTGTGAAAAACGACTGATACGATCAAAATGATGCGGTCTTGTCGCTTGACCACCTCAACAGCTGGTGGAAAGCGGACTTGGTGCCGTGCCAAACCCTTCACTTCTGACACGCCCCACCATCTGCAGCGAACAACACTGTAAGAAACCATTGGGTACACCCAGATTTTATTTCGAGTTGCGCACTAGTGATGGGATAACTCAGTTCACTTTTTTCGTGTGAGCTAACTTGGGTTTTCTTTCGAAGAGGGGTGAAAAGCCAGAGATTTAATCCACCTCGGGGAAAGTTGGAGAAACCCGTCGAATACTTGCTAACGCTCTCTCTAGACGCTTCCTCATCCTCTCAAATAAATTCCTTTATAGTTTCAGGCATCATCCAGTCGTGTCGATCCTCCTCTGGAAATTAATAGGAATCTCACAAATTGGGGCATGACATATCAGAAGGTACCGTTCGATTAGCACTATCACAGTCTAGTTAGCTGTAGTTAAGGGGCGCGTCAGGCAGGATCGACTTGGCACGGCGCCAGACTTGTTTTTCACCAGTTGCTGAAGCGAGTAAGAGAGACACGAGAGAGTATCATATTGTTCGTTACTCATAATTCCCCACCAATTTTAGTCGTTTATCCGCTTCAACAACTGGGGAAGAAAGGGTTCGCCCGCGCCAGACTCATCCTAGCTGACGAGCCCGTTGCAGCGAACATGACTATAGATCAAGATTTAATTTAATTTATGGTCTAGAATATAGTAAGACCGTGCGCGGTTCCAGTATTGGGTTTCCTCGGTCTTCCAGAATTATATAGTCTTGCTCCTGTGAACTCATGTCAGGGGGGGGGGGGCTGGGTTCGGTACGGCGCCGACCGGTTCTCCACCATTTGTTGAAGGGAGCAGGGCACGCCATCTTTGTGATCATCACAACAGGGGGGTCGTATTTGCCCGCGATGGAGGGGGGGGGGTCGTAAACGCATGGCCCATGTTGAAGTGGAGAGAGCGGTGATACACGGTACAAGTGAAAAGAAGCTCAAAAGGGACGATGTAGATGACAATAAATAGAACTAGGCACTATCGAACTATTCCTAGGCCAAGAACTAAAAAAAATATTGCTGAAACTTTTTCCTCCTTCCTCACAAAAAAACTTCAAGACACTTCGCCCACCAACCCTCCTCATCTGGTCTAGATAAATCCCAATCCACTAATCCGCAAAATCTAGAAAAGAATCCATTGCAAAAGCTACCTA